GAGGATGTGTCTGCCCTCGGCTCCTGCCCCTGGTTTTCTGGACGCCGCCGGCTCTGGCCGTAGCCTGTGCATGGAGCAGGCTTGGGGTGGGGCCGTGTTCCCTGGTTCCCAACGCCCTCAGCCTGTCTCCCGGGGCGAGGGCCCAGTTCCGTGAGTTCCCAGCCCAGCCGTGGGGTCTGTCTGTTCCTGTGGCAGGACGGGACCCCGGTGCTCTGTGGGGCAGCCAGAAGGAATCAATCCCTGGCGCTGAGCGCTGTCTGGACGACACCTTGGAGCACAAAGCACCTTCTGTGCCGGCCCCGTCGGGGAGAGTCACGCTGTGGCCCCGGCCCCATTAATAAGGCCTTTGTGGAGCTGTTGGCTCCTGGCCCCAGAGAAGCCCGATGGATGCGCTGTCCCATGGCAGGGCATAGCTGAGCCTGCCTCGGTCTCTCCATAGTGAGGCCCAGGGGTGCAGCAGAGGGGACGGCGGGGGGCACAGTGTGGGGAGGGCACGCCTCAGGCGAGCTATTGCCAGTAGAGGTGGGGGGATGAGCCTCATGCGGGACACTGGGTGCAGTTCCGGTTTCCCACTTCAGAAGATGAATTCGAACTGGACTCAGTGCAGAGACGGGCGACTAGTCTCAAGGAGCAGGGAACCAGGCGACAGTGGAGGGAGAGGCGAGAGCGATCTGTAAATACGTCAGAGGGCTGCACACCAGGGAGGGAGAGGAGTTATTTACATTAAGGGCTAATGTTGGCACCTGAACAAATGGCTATAAACTGGCCCTCAACAAGTTTAGGTTTCACACTAGGCGAAGAACAGAGGAGTGAAGTGCTGGAGCAGCCTCCCAAGAGGGAAAAAACCTACCTGGCTTCAAGACTGAGCTTGACGAGTGTATGGAGGGGACAATGAGACTGCCGACAATGGCATACGGCCCACGTGCACCTGTTATTAGCAAATATCTCCAATGGCTGGTGATGGGACACTAGATGGGGAAGGCTCTGAGTTACGACAGAGGATTCTGTCCCAGGTGTTGGCTGGTGGGTCTCGCCCACATGCTCAGGGTCTAACTGGTCACCATATTTGGTGTTGGGAAGGAATTTCCCCCCAGGTCAGATTGGCAGAGACACTGGAGGGGGTTTCACCTTCCTCTGCAGCATGGGGAATGGGTCACTTGCTGGTTTAAACTAGTGTAAATGGTGGGTTCTCCGTAACCTTGACATCTTTAAAGCATGATTTGAGGATTTCAGTCACTCAGCCAGAGTTTCTGGGTCTGTTAGTGGAGGGGGTGGGTGAGGTTCCGTGGCCTGTGATGTGCAGGAGGACAGACCAGATGATCATGATGGTCCCTTCTGACCTTACAGTCTATGGACAGCTGCTGTCCTCACCCGCGTGAGGTGAAGACAGCAGCTTTTGGGGGCACACCCCCAGGTTCCCTGCACTGCTGTGAGCTGTCACTCTACGGACAGGAGCTGCCGCCGCGGCGGAAACGCGCGTGCCGCCCTAACGGCACATGGACTGCCCATTCGGCGCGCTGCTTGGGGGCAAAAACCCACGGACTGCCGCCCCTTGCAGATTGCCGCCCCAGGCACCTGCTTGGAACGCTGGTGCCTGGAGCCGGCCCTGCAGGCCTTGCAAACGGCCAGAGCTTTTCAGGTCCCTCTGTCTTGTTCCGTCCCAAATTCATTCATAATGAACACAGCTGGATCAGCCCTGAGACCGTTCCAGCCTTTGAGATGAAAGGTTATAGCGGAGGGAGCCCCGCCTGGGCCTGCCCAGGCCCCCCCTTCCTGCTCCTCATTCAACGGGAGACCTTGGCCGGCTGCCTTCAGCTTCACATACAGCTACTGGGGCCTTACGCTTAGTTGGTGCCGAGCTTAAAATCAGCATGATCACCCCGGAGTCCTATGTCAATCACCGTTACCTACTCTAGCTACTGGTGTCTCCCAGACGTCCGGACTCCCAGGTCCCTGCTCTAAGCGCTGGGTAACCCTCTTCCAGACTTGGGAACAGACCCCAGCAGGCCTGAATTACAGCCCCCTGCTCTCCCTGCTAGACTCAGTAGCATCCCTGAGAAAAATCACAATGAAAAATACAGAACAGGCTGTAAGTTTCCACAGCTTTTACAGAACCGCTGGGCTGGAAACCAAGCCCAGAGCTTTCAAACAGACACTTAATTTAAGTCTTCATTAGCTTCTCAGCTGTCTGGCTAAGCTGGAGATTCTCAATTCAAGATAAAGCCACGTTCTGGCGTCAGGCTGATTTTGATGGTAACCAGCCAGGATGGCAGCGAATACAGCTGACCATCACTGCCTGGAGCAGATACCATGTGTGGGGCACTGGGAGTGCGGGTGGGCGGGCTGGAGGAGAAGCAGGGTCCGTCTACACTGGAGCTGGAGGTGTAATTTCCAGCTCATGTGGACACACCGGGGCTAGCATGGACCGCTGCTGCTGGCGGGAGGGGCTAGCTGTCCCGAGCACGATCCTGTCTGAAACCCTCAGTACGTACACAGGGCGGCTCGGCCCTGCCACCGCTCGCCCCACCGTGGCTGCACGGCTAGCTTGAGTGTGCTGGCTCCACCAAAGCAAGTGCATGCACATCTCCCGCGCAGGAAGTTCCGTGCCCAGCTCCCGTGTAGACGGGCCCTCAGGTAACACAACTTGCATGGGACTTAAGAGTATGGTTAGGGTTAGGCACGTGCTTTGCTAAATGGGGCCCTGAATGTCAAGTGTAAAATGCCCCAGTGCTCAGCCCCCACCCCCACAGGATCACTCACACCCGGGTTCTTGGAAGCCAAAGGTTTCAATGGTGGCCTCCGTACTGGAGAGCTGAAAACGGGAGCCAGGGACCTAGCGTGGGATCGCTATACTTTATCAAAGGGCGTTGTGTCTGCGTTTGTAACGCAGATTAAAGTGCAGACGTTTCAAAGTGCTCTAGGGACACAGAGAATCCTGGGGGGACTGCTCAAAATTTCAAAAAAGGCTCATTAATCATAATTAAAATGATTATTTATTAATTTATATCACAGGAGTGTTTAGAGAGCCCGACAGATCTGGGCACTGCAGTGCTGGATTCACTACATACACACCACAAGAGACAGGCCCGGCCCTGCCAGCATATAGTCTGAAGAGATGAGAAAGGTGGGGAGGGGAAACTGAGGTACAGAGCTGGGAAGGGACTTGCCCAAGGCCACCCAGCAGGTCAGGGGCAGAGCTGGGAACAGAGCCCAGGTCTCCTGACCGATAGCTCATTTTTTAAGTCATATGAAAATTCAACAAAATGATTCAAACTGCTTAATTCAAACTTTTAAACAACCTACTGGAAGCTAATCATAAACATGTTAACATCCTAACTTGGGGTTTGGGGGCAAGCGGGGGCGGGGAGGCATGTCTAAGCTAGAAAAATGTTTTCACCTGTGTTAGCGAACACATTTTAATGGACACAAGTTTAAACAGGACTTTGACAGGACACATTGTGTTAAATATGTTACACGACCATTTCTCCAGTCATGTCCTGTGAATAAAGAGAACTGCGCATATAATGGAGCCCAGCCTCGCAGGCAGGTTTTTTTCCATTGTGTGGAAGCTGAGAGAAAAGAAAAGACTAGCATGGTCCCAAGCACATGTTTTCTTTTCACTAAGGATTAAAGTAAACTTCAGCCAACAGACGGACGTTGTGCAATGAAATACAAGACATGCCCCCGTTGCCGGGATTCCTTCGAGCATCACTGGTGTTATTTGGGAAACGATATTTTCCTTTAACCCAAACAGCTCCCTTGCTATACCGAATCGTTCCTTCCCCGAAAGGCCGGGTGTGAGATTCCACCAGGAATCCCGGGGTTCTGAGGCCAGCTCTGGAGGACGGACGAGTCTCTCTCCTGGGCTGAGATCTGAGTTTTGGCTCCCTGATTCTCCGGCCGGAGTGGCACACGATACATTAGTGTTAGGGGCTGCTCTGGCTTTAGCTGGCTGGCTATGCCCCTCAGGCTAGAAGAGAATCAGGGTCTCAGGGGACTGGCTGGAAAGGACAGCCTCTCCCAGACAGGAAAAAATCCCACCCCAACTCCTCCAAGTATTTCAGCGGCTCAGAGCAGGGGCTGGGTCTCAAAGGCAGTGCGTGCTCATGGCTTGGCTCCATCTCCAGCCAAAGCAGAGAGCTCTGACAAGGGTAATCACAGCGCCTGGTCTCAAAGCTGTCTCTGGTTTGGAGTTCCTCCACGTCCAGAGGGCCTGAGCTGCACGACAACATCTGGGGAATCCGCTCTGTGCAGCTTGGTCACTAGAAGCAAAAGCATCCTGAAGACAATCCACACACATCCACGCACAACCTCCCCCCACACACACACAACATACACACCCTTTGCACACACAACGTGCACTCCCAAAACACACACATGCACATCCCATACATACACAACCCCAACACAACATACACACATGCACACCCTTTGCACATACACACACAAACACACATACACACAGCCCTCACATGCACACAGCAGACATATGTTCACCCTTCTCACCCCCCCCCATACAAAACCATGCACGCCCCGCTCACAAAACACACACAGCCACATGCTCCCCTCTTGCTCACACATCCCTTGCACAGCCTGGTCTGAGGGGCTGGCTCGCCTTGTGCTTCAGAGGAAAAGGCCACATTGACTCTTACGAGTCTCCAGGATGCTGGGAAAGGGGCACCCCTGCTGCCCAGGTACACGCAGCCATGAAACGAGTTCATGGGAAGCCGGTGCCCACCCACCAGAGGGGCATGGGGCTCCTGGAGCAGTGCCACGCACATCACCACGGAGCATGTCGATGTGCATTTGTTCTCCTCCGCACAAGGCAATAGCGGAGGGTTTCTGCTTGTTCTGTCACTCTCTTTCTTTGCCAGGGGCTTGGGTGGTTGGCTTGATACATGGCAGACACTAGGACCAGGCACAATCCCCACCTCCTCCTGGCCTCCCCCTCCTTCTGCCTCTGTCACACCCCCCCCTGGGAAGGCTGGTCCTCGGTATAAACCCCGGGCAGCACGGAGCGAATTCCATCCAAGGGCTACACAGCCTGGAGGATGAGCCGGAGCATGGAGAGTCAGCGACCGTCTTCATATCGGCGGCGGTTTGGCCCCCAAGCCACCGCTGTCCAACAGCCCCTGAGATCCTCGCCCCTCTTCTGGCTCATGGCCCCCAGCCCCAGCCCCAGAGTCTCCATGACCAAGAAGAAGAGTTCCAGCCTGAACATCCGTGCCAGCCCCAGGTTATTCCAGGACAAGGCAGATTTCTCCCTGGCCGATGCCCTCAACACCGAGTTCAAGGAGACGCGCACCAACGAGAAGGTGGAGATGATGGAGCTGAACGACCGCTTCGCCAGCTACATCGAGAAGGTGCGCTTCCTGGAGCAGCAGAACAAGGTGCTGGTGGCGGAGCTCAACCAGATCAGAGACAAGGAGCCCACCAAGCTGGCCGACATCTATCAGGACGAGCTGAGAGAGCTCCGCCGGCAGGTGGACCAGCTGTCTAATGCCAAGACCAGGCTGGAGATCGAGAGGGAAAATCTGCTGGACGATGTCAACGGCCTCCGGCAAAAGTAAGGAGCCTCCTTTGCCGGGCGCAGGGTTGGAGAGCAGCCGCAGTAGCGTCTGGTGGCTATGCAGCCAGAGCAGGTCACCTAGCCAAGGAGAATGGCGTAGACAGGTTACACCCAGAGAGAGCAGTCACTAACACAGAGTAGCTGCAGTTTCAAGGCACTTTAAAGCTGGTGGGGAATCTGTGTGTGGCTGCAAAGGCAGGGAGGAGCAGTGCTAGTGCATGGGGCTGGGTGTTCAAATTCCTGGCTCCCAGCTCTGCCGCTCCCCTGCTGGCAAGTCACTTCCTCGCTCTGTGCTCCAGCTGCACAACCGGGGTGAGGCACTGGTCCCTGGAAGGGCTCTGCGGGTGGGAAGAGCGAAGTGTTATTCCACAGCCACAGAGCAGCCTCCCGTTTTCAGTGTTCAAAAATCCGCACCCAAATGTCTGCACCTGTAAACCTGCAGGCTTGTAAAACACACACCTCTAGCTAGGTGAGCAGCTCCACACAAACCCCCGTGTACCTGCACAAAACTGGAGCAGGCGTAAACACGGGCACGCCCAAACAGCTGGATCTCAGGGGTGGCAGCTGGCCCAGGCCTCAGATGGGGACGTGTACTGCAGAGGGACCTGCTCAACCTGACTCAGTCGGGGCTGTGGCGCTTCTCTTGCTGAGTCTGTGCCCAGAAATCTGCAACATTCCTGTCCCAGTGCGCTCTGGCTGAGACGCCGCAGAAAAGACCCTGATCTGGGAGCCAGGCTGCCCACTCTCTAATGTAATAAAACCGCTGTCTGACTGAGAATGCGGGGAGGGCAGCAGAAGGAGGCGAAGGTTTACCAGCCTCAGATAGAGGTTTGCTCTTGTATTGTGCTGGTTCTACACCAACAGTCTGTTGCTTTCTAGAGGAAGTGTCATCTAATGGTTAGTGCAATGGACTCAGAGCCCTAACTCCAGCCCTGGAAGAGGAGTGTGGTCTAGTAGTTAGCATATGGAAAACCTAGACTCCTAAATTCCATCCCGTGCTGGAGAGAAGAAGGTGGTCTAGTAGCTGGTAGAAGGATCTTGGAGTCATAGCTCCTGGGTCCTCACCATTGACTAGGGCAAGATGTTGACTTCTCTGTCTCAGAGAAGGTAGTAATAGTGTCATAGCACCACAGGGAGCTAGAAATGGGGTTAGTTTATGTCTGTGCTGGAGAAGGGCACAGGATTACTGCTGCTGGCAAGAACTCGTCAGGAGGTTTCCAATGAAAGTTTGGTTCATCAGAAAATGCTGGTCCATTGAAGCAGAACTTCCCGGGAAGGGGCAGTTTGGACGAATCGCCGGATTCGAAACGGTTTGAAATTGTTGAAACGTCCCATTTTGACATTTTCAAAAGGAAAAGTTTCATGTTTCTGCTAGAAATGACTTTGGGTTTAAAAGTTTTACAGAATATATGCTTTAAAAAGGTTAAAAATGTAAAAGGACAAAATTGAAACAAAACTGATCAAACTGAAGCATTTCAGTTGACACCATCTGAAACGTTTCTCAGATGATTGGGTCATGAAAAGTTTTCACATTTCTACTTTTGTATCCCAGCTCAGGATGGGGAAAAGTATTGATATGTGTAAAACTCTCCCGGTCTGGGACAGCATCCCCCACCCAGCTGTCACGGAGCGAATCGTGGGGGCGGGGCAGCAAGAGGCTCTCTGTGTGACTTTGGCAAGCACTCGCAACTGAGGCCGGATTTTCAAAGTGTTCAGCTTGTGTTGAGTTCAGTGCTTTAGAAAATCTGGCCCTGAATCTCTCTGGACCTCAGCTCCCATGTGCAAGGTGAGGATACTGCTCCTTCCTTTCTCCCCGGCCTCCTCTTGTCTCTTCCGAATATGAGCTGCCTGGGCAGGGACCATCTCTTACTCTGTGTCCCTGCAGGGCCTCTAGCGTATTAACACTCAATAGTTACAATAACACTTGGCTGCGGACAATGGCAGATGTAGGGGATAAAACCAGCAGTTAAAAAAGCAAGGGGCGACATTCCTAGCAAGCCCGAACACTCCACGCACGCACGCACGCGCACGCACACGCACACACACGCACACACACACACGCACACACACACACACACACACACACACGCACGCACACACACACACACACACACATATCCCATCTATAATCCAAGAGCCAGACAGAGATTGGAGGGCAAGCAATGTTTCTGTCTATAAAAGATCTTGTGTTAGGCAGAATTTGCTACCCAGAAGCCTGGGACACATCCAGACGATGTGCTTTGGGGATGCCCCTGACACAGATCACACATGGAGCAGGGCTCAAAGGAAAGAAGTCCTGGTTCACTTGGCAATAAGACCTTTGTCTGCCTCCACGATCTGCACAAATACCAGCACATCCAATCTCACACACTCTGCACTGTGGGCAGTGGATGAACAATATCCCCCTGTCAGAGGCAGGGAAAACGAGCACTGGCAAAGCGACTGGCTCAAAGTCACACAGCGATTCCGTTGCAGAACAAGGAATGGGACCCATAATCCAACCCCCTCCCCTGTCCCTTCTGCTTATCACCAGCCCAGGGGTGTCCAGACCTGGCCTATTATACATACACTAGGCCTGTGGTTTTCAACCTTATTCTATCTGCAGAACCTAAACTATTTTGAATACAGGTGCGGACCACTGTGGAAATCTTAGACATTGTCTGTGCACCCTCAGGGGTCCTCGGACCACTGGTTAAAAACATTTGATTAAGTGACTGCAGGGAAGACTGCTTTTAATATGGGACAACACAACCCCCACAATCCATCCCACCTTCCTCCCTAACCCAACCCGCACAATCCATCCCACCTTCCTACCTAACCCAACCCAGACAATCCATCCCACCTTCCTCCCTAACACAACCCGCACAATCCATCCCACCTTCCTCCCTAACACAACCCGCACAATCCATCCCACCTTCCTCCCTAACCCAACCCACACAATCCATCCCACCTTCCTACCTCCCTAACCCAACCCCCACAATCCATCCCACCTTCCTCCCTAACCCAACCCAGACAATCCATCCCACCTTCCTCCCTAACCCAACCCAGACAATCCATCCCACCTTCCTCCCTAACCCAACCAGCACAATCCATC